GGGGGGGTTTCGTGAGGCCTTTTGGGAAAATGAAAAAGGGGGGGTAAAAACAGGGTGGAAACTGTGGGATCATGACAGAAATGTTAAAAAACAGGGGGGATATGTGTTTGGGGTGGTTGGTACTTTTTTTTTTAAAAAAAAGTGGAAAAAAGAGGAAGGACCTAGGGGTTGGGGGAAAAGCCCCTTTTTAGTCCCCCCTTTTTATAAAGGGAAAGGGGGCCAAAAAAAAGACTGTAAAAAATTTTAAGGGGGAAAATTTACTGGTATACCAGGAAAAGTGTACGGTTAGGGTTATAAAAATTTAAAGAATTAGGGGTAAGACAGAATGTTTGGGTTGGGGGATGAGCAAGGAGGGGTTTTAGAGTTGGGGAGGGGATTGAACAAGTGTTTTTTTTTTAACATATTGTGAAACAGTATTTGATAAAGGTTTTGGGAAATTTTTTTTGCATTTAGGATTTGGAAAAAGGGATATGATAGAGTGGATAGAGGAGCAATTGGCGATTTGCAAAGGGATTGGAATTTGGTGGTAAGTTATTAAATGCTTAAAAAAGTTTTTTTTGAGGAAAGTTTAGGGTCGGGGTTTGGGTGTTTTAGAAGGGGGGGAGAAATACTTCCCGGGAAAAATAGGTTTAGACAGGGGTGTGTAAAGCCCCCGGTTTTTTAATATATTTATGATGGGGTTGTAAAGGAAGTAAATCTAGGGTGTTCGGGAGGGGGTGGGAAATTAAATTTTGGGAAATTTAAAAATTTAAAATTTGGGAAATTTAACAGTTTCTTTTTGTTTATGAAATGTGCTTATGGGAATTCTAAAAAAAATTGCAAAAGGGTTTTTGGATTTAGTTTGGGAATGTTTTAAAGGGGAGAAAGTTGAAAGGAAATAGAAAAGAGGGAAAGGGGAAAGAGGGTGTCAAAAGATTTAGATTTAAAGGGAAAAAATTGGGTATCAAATTGGGGGGGAGTATGGAAGAAGGAAAGTTTTCAGATACTTGGGAGTTGGGGCGTGCGGCGGATGGATTTGTGAAGGATGGGGGTTTTAAAATAGAATTGAAGAGGGAAAAAAGGGAGTGGGGGCGTTTTAAAAAGGGATATGTGGGGGTCAAAAAACGTTATTTAAAGGAGGGGAAAGAAGGGGGGTATGAAAGTTAGGAAGTACCCAAACCCCTCTTATATGGGTGTGGAAAAAACTTGGGTGGTAAATCACAGCCCAGGAGACGGTTGGGGGCATTTTTGTTCCTGTTTAAGGGCAAAAGTGGGGTGTAAATAAAAATTTCAGAAAATTCGGAGTGTGGAAATTAGGAAAAGGGGTGGAGTTAATAAAAGTATTAGTTAGAGGGCAGAAAAAGGGGTTGTTGAGGTGGTTTTGGGGCATTTAGAGAGAATGGGTCAAAATTTGAATGATATGGAAAGCATTTTAAAACTGTAGGGGAAGGAAAGGGGGGGTTTGGGGGGCCCTCCTCAAAAAGGGGTTTGGGGGAGAGGGGGTTTTAAAAGGGGGTTTTTGTGGGGCCAAAGGGGTTTGGAAAAACCAGCAAGCGTGCGTGAGCGTGTTAGATAGGAGTGAATGGAGGGCGAAAGGTACTTTTGGGGGGTGAAAGGAAAACTGTTGGAGTGTTTAGCGGGGGAAATTTTTTAAAGGTTTTTGGGAAAGGTAACTGGGGGAAGTTTCAAGCCTTTCACTTTAAAGGAGGGGGGGTTGGGGAAATTTGGGGTTTTGGGGATATGTTGTGTATCTTTATATGTTGGGAAGCTTTCTAAAAAGTTTTATTCTGAGCCCTCTACAAAAAAAAGGAAATGTGGAGTTTTGGTGAAAGTTTTTGAAGATGATGAAATTTTTTTTTGGGGATTTTCTTTCTTTTTTTTTGGGGCAACCCCTGCCCCGGTGGGAACGGCCCCCACTTGTTGAATATATTTATTTATATATCCGCCACTCACTGAGGTCCGTGGTTCGATCCCCGGTGCGGGTGGAAGCTTAGGACGTGTTCCCTTAAGACACTTGTTATCAGTTTTCACCTTGCAGTAGATAGGTACCTGGGTGTTTGCCGACTGGTGTGGGTCGCATCCTTGGACAAAATTGACCTAATTTGCCCGAAATGCACACGCAGGCGAGAGAGACATGATAATATATACTTAGAAAATCCTACACACGGAAATCACTCCCTATGAAAGCAAAAGACTCGGCAGGCAGTGCAACGTACCCCAATGAAAAGCAGGGGCGCCACGGGTACGCTAAGAAACATAATAAGTGTCGGAGGCCCAAGACTGTTCAACTGCCTCCCAACATACATAAGGGGGATTACCAATAGACCCTCTGGCTGTCTTCAAGAGGGAGCTAGACAGACGACTAAAGTCAGTACCTGACCAGCCGGGCTGTAGTTCGTACGTCGGTCTGCGTGCGGCATCAGTAGCAGCTTGGTTGATCAGGCTCTGATCCACCGCGAGGCCTGGTCATGGACTGGGCCGTGGGGCGTTGACCCTCGGAATACCCTCCAGATAACAAGTTTTCTATATAGAAGTATATCAGTGATGTCAGCTAAGCCTGTATACGTTGTACGTGTACTTGCAGAAATAAAGATTATTATTATTATTATTATTATTATTATTATTATCCACGGTTTCTTTTAGTTTTCATCTTCAACTTTTAGTTATGTCTTTCGGGTGGCTTTATTAGTTCTTCATGTGCATTGAGACGACCTGCTTGTTACATGAACAGAGATGTTGACCTGAATAGCACTCTTCTGACTCTATAATCTTTGTTTTTTTTTTTTAAGTTTGAGGATTATTAGGATCTTTTGATCATAGAAAACAAGAAACCGAGGCTACAGTGGGCACAGGCTCACCAAAGATTGGAAAAACGTCGACTGGTCTGACGAATTGCGATTTCTGCTGCGACATGGAGTTGGCAGGGTCATAATATGGCGTTAACAAAATGAATCCATACCTCTATCCTGCTTTGTGTCAACAGTTCATGCTGGTTGTGGTGGTGATGGTGTGGAGAGTGTTTTTCTGGCACACAATATATATAAACTAAATCTCGTTTAAATGCCACAGCCTACCTGTGTATTATTGCTGACCATGTTGATCCCTTTATGGCCACAGGCTACCCATCTTCCAGCGGCTACTTCCAGCAGGAATACGCGCCATGTCACAAAGCACATGTGATCTCGAGCTTTTTCCACGAACATGACAATGAGTTTATTGTACTCCAATGGCCTCCAGTCACCAGATCCCAATCCAATATAGCACCTTTGGAATGTGGTATAACAGGAGATTCATAGTATGAATGCGCAGCCGACAAATCTACAGCAGTTGCGTTATGCTGTCATGTCAACATGGACCAGAATCTCTAAGGAATGTTTCCAACATTTTGTTGAATCCATGCCACAAAGAATTCAGGCTTTTCTGGGGACCATGGGGAGGAGAGTTACGCTACCCAGTACCTACTTAAGTGGCTACTGAGTGTATATCATGAGATGCATGTTTCTCAGTGTATATATACTGAGAGTTCACTTTAATCTCTACTTTAATTATTAAAGTATTCTTCACTGGTAGTGATATACACCTTTAATAACCCTCGTGTAGTCGATAGACTTGAAGCCCTATTAACCAACCGACCAAGACAGTAAAGGTCGCCCCATTTCACTCACACCTTCACTGCAAACCAGACATCATTTTTGTTGTAATTTCGAATGAATCTGTCTTGGCTCCATCTTGAGACGAACTGTACACTTATGTGGCATCGTCTTCAGTCACTTCCTCAATAAATATACTATATATTACTTTATGGTTTTATCATACAGTTAGCATCCCTGGTTTATTCGCTACCGTAGCTTATAAATTTGAGTCTTCACACCTTGCAATAACGTATAAATACAACACTTGTGTTACGACCTTTGCAATCATCATCATCTTTGTATTGAGAAGAATGTCAACCTTTTTATTTTGAAATTATCATCCTGAAGAAAATTTAACATGCTGTTTTCTTCAACAAACTTAACACGCTATGACCCTAAATAAACTGGAACACTATCATGCTAAACAAACTAAAATTATATCATTCTAATTGAACCTAACATGGTATCATTCTAAACGAACTTAGCATGCTATCATTCTAAATAAAGTTTAACATGCTATCATACTAAACACCCTTACTGCACACTACACCTATCATGCCCTCGTAGCATTATTTATAAGTTACTGTAGAGTTAATTTTGTTAAGGTATTTTTTCAAGTTAGTCACTAGTTACACTAGTTAATGAGTAGCTAAAGTGTAATGAATACTTGTCAGTGCTCAGTAATATTCCACGTGGATACAGAAACTCAAGAGATTAATTGATCTGTACATTTCGATTCCTTTCTAGAATCATCTTCACCTGAAGAGGATCCCATCAGGGAGTCGAAATATACAGATAAATTAATCTCCCGAATTTCCAACTGCAGGTGGGTTATTACTGAGCACACTAATTAACTTTAAAGCCATGCACAATAACCACGGGGGAAGTTGCATGATAGCTCTAGGCCTTTCATGTTGCAGTCAACACATCAGGAGCTTGCAGTGTTGCAGAAAAGAGGAGGAGTTCCAAAAAATACGATCACAGGGAATGCCTTTGGTGGACTCCAGCAAAGACGCTCCTTGTGATCGTATTTGCTTCGACCTCCTCTTTTCTGCAACATTGTAAACTGGACAGGCACCTTAAGTCAGTACCTGATCAGCCGGGCTGTGGTTCGTACGTCGGTTTGCATGTGACCAGCAGTAACAGCCTGGTTGAACAGGCCTTGATTCACCGCGAGGCTTGGTCACAGACCGGGTTGCGGGGGCTTTGGCCCCCAAAACCCTCTCCAAGTATACTCCAGGTAACACGAGAAGCCTAGAGCTATCATTCAACTCCCCCGTGGTTGTTTTGCATCTTGTATCGCTTATTCGCGTTTTTTTTTTTTTTTGCATAATTTAAAGCTATGTTTTAAGCTAGAATTGAGACTTTGTACACTTTGGAAACTGGTAGAGCGGTGTCCCCACTGTGAGGGTGAGCACGGTGCTGAGTCTTGCACCACCTGCCGTACCTACCACCGCTACTTCCCCCGCCCACCACGCCTACACACCCACGCCCACGCCTACCACACCAACAACCCCCACGCCGCCCTCAAAGTCCTCCGCCAGCCCGCCCACAGGGAGCTACGCCCGCGGAAGAGATATCTGGCAGACATCGACGGGGCTGTTTACGGTACGGAAACGTTCGGAGCTTCCACGTAATAATAATAATAATAATAATTTTCTTCTTTCCTTATATTTATACATTTGTTTTTTGGCTTGAGTCTTTCATGTTTGTAAGTCAGGAAGTGTGTGTGTGTGTACTCACCTAATTGTGGTTGCAGGGGTCGAGACTCAGCTCCTGGCCCCGCTCTTCACTGATCGCTACTGTGTGTGTGTGTGTGTGTTGTGTGTGTGTGTGTGTGTGTGTGTGTGTGTGTGTGTGTGTGTGTATGTGTGTGTGTGTGTGTGTGTGTGTGTGTGTGTGTGTTTGTGTGTGTTTGTTGTGTGTGTGTGTGTGTGTGTGTGTGTGTGTGTGTGTGTGTGTGTGTGTGTGTGTGTGTGGTGTGGTACTCACCTAACTCTGGTTGCAAGGGTCGATTCATAGCTCCTGTGTATGTGTGTGTGTGTGTGAAGATCATTAAAGTCATATTAATAGTATACAATGTCGACAAGTTGATAAATAAGACACGATGTGCAACATTTGAATATTTTTATACGGCATTAAAGATACTGAAGTGTTGCACATCTCTCTCTCTCAATTAATTATGGAATATATCTTCCACAGGAGAACGAAGTCATCCATCACGGCGTGCACGCTCTCTATCCCCGCAGCGGCGTCCAACCTCTACACCTCCTGACAGAGCTTCCAACTTGCCCACCTCCACCTACCCTGACCGGACGACCGACCTGCCCTCCAGACTCAGAAAGGATGAGGACGACCAGTCGCCTGAGGAGGAAGAGGAGGACAATGATTCAAAGTCACACTCCAGATCGCACTCTAACTCCAGGTCTCCGTCGCCCCCTGCTAGCCACGCCTCCGCCCCGGCTGCTATTAATCGTCGGAGACCCAGGTCTTATAGGTTAGTTCATACACTAGCCTAGGACATTGCTTGGCGTTCCTTTGTTTATTAAATTTGGCGTAAAGCCTAGCTGGGGTATGTCACTGGATACTCAGCCATTGAACAAGTCATCACCTAACAAAGATCCACGTCAACAGGCCAAGATTTAAGTCTCAATGCCCTAGGCACTCTCAATAATTTCCCAATAATTGAATTTCAATTCAATTCAAGTTTATTCTTTATAAGGGTTACAATGTGGGGTTTACAGGTTTTGGGTATTGTGTGGTTTACATGTTATAAAATACTAATTACAGAGGGGGCCACTAGGACACCTAGCATGGCTAGGTATTTCGAGCAGACTTAGATTAAATCTTAACATTAAATCCTTACAGATTATGGTATTAAGGCTAAGTGACTACATCATAATTTGTGAGTTTAGCAGTGTGAATGCTTTTGTTTTGGCACAATACAATATTGGAGTATCATAGGCAAACTTATGACTAGTTAGGATTTATTATTTTAAGATTAGTATTTCTGGGTTTATAGTCAGTGGGTGAGTGAGTGTAATTGTGAACCACCAGGTGGTTATCATGTAGTTAGTTGTCGGGGTGGATCAGGGAGATAAGATGTTTTCTAACTGTAGTTTTGAAAGTGATGAATGTGTCTGCAGTTCTAGAGTTTTCAGGTAGGGTGTTCCAGATTTTAGGTCCTTTGAAATACATTGAATTTTTGTAAAGGTTTAGTCGAACACGGGGAATGTCATAGAGATGTTTGTGTCTGGTGTTATGCCTGTGGATCCTATCACAACTATCAAGAAAGCGTTTTAGGTCAAGGTTAATATATATATATATATATATATATATATATATATATATAATAATATATATATATATATATATATATATATATATATATATATATATATTGGAATTTAAGGTCCTGTAGATATAGATTGCACAGTAGTAAGTGTGGATGTTCTGAACAGGGAGTAAGTTTAGATCTATGAAGAGTGGGGGGGGGGGGTGTTGCCAAGGATGGGATTTAGTGATTATTCTTACTACGGCTTTTTGTTGGGTTATTATTGGCTTAAGGTGTGTTGCCGCAGTTGAACCGCAAGCACAGATAGCATAGGTGAGGTATGGATATATAAGTGAATGGTATAGTGTGAGAAGGGCAGTTTGCGGTACGTAGTATCGTATCTTAGAGAGGATCCCCACCGTTTTGGATACTTTTTTTGTTATGTGTTGGATATGGGTGCTGAAATTTGGGTGCTTACTAAATTTTTACCAGCAGTGAAGGTTTTCTGCACATTCTTCCGATCTGCAATTTCGCCTGCTTAAAAGGGGCTGTCAGACTGCATCAGTTTTGCAGCCTAAAGAAAACAAGTAATTTGAAGAAAATGTAGTAGTACAA